GTTTATTCTAATCAAGAGCTTATTTTTTAAGATTGTCATTTAGTCTAGATTGGGTTTTGTTGATAATCCGCCATTTTTTTCCGATTTTCAAAGCCGGGTCTACCTTGGCGACCGAAGTTTGCCGTCAAAAGAACCAATACTAAAGCTGTTCCAAATATTGTCTTCTACACCAAAGATTATGTTTTAACCTACATATAATAAAAAGAACTTGGCTTTAAAGCAAAAACTGATTAAAAAAATTTTTAGCATGAGAATATTAATAGGGTCAGAATAGGCAAAACAGAAATAATAACAAAGAAGGAAAAACGACAGAAATGCTATTTGACTGGTACGATGCAATAACTGGATAAAAAAGTTTTGTATTGAAAATTCAATTTTTTAATATATAACATTTATGAGATTTTTGTCTTTTCTATGTCCTCGCATTTAGTGCTGAAAACAGGAATACATATCCTAGTAGCATTTACATATTCAATTAGACCACTTCTTGCAACAATATTTTTGTTCCTCTTTCCTGACGGTCTTCTATAGAGCTCCTGTACTTCTAATTTTAGAAATTAAGCTTTCAAAATGATAGTTTTTATTCTTGATTTTTTTTTTCCTGTACTTTTTGGATTATTTATATCTGCCAAGATATTTTATTAGCTTAGTTTACAATTATCTGTAAGCTTGGTAGATAAAATACCTGGGGTTTTTCAGATAATTTGAATATTACATTAAAATAAATTTTTAAGTCTTAGTTAAGTTTTATACTAGCTACTATTTAAGCCAAAATTTAGTGCTTAAAATAATAACTTCATTAAGCTTTGAATGAGAATTGAAAACTGAAATTAATGGGATATCCACACAAAACTGTTACTGAATATGTGAGCAAAATTATAGCATTGTAGAGTATAATCATTAAAAAATAAATAAATACACAAATATGGAACATACTACCTGCTTTATTACAGCTGAGAAATATTTATTAGAATTTGTTTTGCACTGTAAACAGTTGAAGGGAACTTGAAATACCTTATCTACATACTAAAATACAATTTCCTGCAATTTTACCAACAGTATTTGTAATTTTCAATTGTATAATTTTGCCCACTACTGTATTTCTACAAGTTATTTCTATGAAAGAAATTAACTTCTATTAAATATTAAATTATATTTCAAATGATATATGCATCTATATCTTAAAGACTACACTGTCTAAGTTTAGTCGAAAACAAACAATCACTTTCTTTATTTATTGGTAAGGGACTTTTGACTAACATTATAAAATGCAACAGAAATTTTTTTTTAAATTTATTAACGTACAACAAACCGCTGATCTATAGCAAAGTAATTCATTAAGCATGCAATACATATTTTATAACACACGCAAATTAAAGAATTTTAAGACTTCGAAATTTTTAAATAAATATCTTGCAATAGAAATATATAGCTGAATTTCCTCATATCACTGAATTTAAAAGACCTTACCTGTAAACTATACACTTACAAGATTTTTTTGACATGTGCTTCGTTTGGGACGTTGGGGTGGTGAATCATCGGATACCGAACAAGGTGATGGTTCTTTCTTTGTAAAAGGTTTCATTTTGCATATCCTATGCAAAACAATCAGCCAGTAAATATTTCAGTACGTTTTTGAATCATTAATATTATATAATAAATTTCAGGAAGAATATAAATTGAAAAGCGGAATCTACGATACTCAAAAATATCTTTACTAATAATAACAAAAAGAACCGGTATTGTTTTTTTAAAGAAATATAAATACAAGTCTATATAATATCTGCATTAGCACAAAGAAATGCAGAAACAATAAAACAATAATGCAGTTTAAAAAAAAAAAGAAGTAGAAATAATGAGGATAAAGACATTTTCTTACCACTCTTTAAGCTAAAAAGGGAAAAAAATCTACATTTTTAATTTGTATACCTGACTAGCAAAACCAAATAATAAATTTTAATTTATTTTTTACAATACTAAAACTAAACAAAAGAACCGGAAAGCCATTGAGATGCTTGTTACAAAGAAAAACCACTTCTGAATTTGTAAACAATTACAGAGTTACATTTTTTTTTTCTATGCCGCTAAAAGTTGGCGTGATGCCAGACAAGGTGCACTGAATTTGAATTAATTTTAGTTTTGTCGATCTTTTATACGTATTATGTAACATACGTTATACATTATACGTAAATTGAATAACTATGACTAAATTTTACTTTTTCTCAGAAGCTTATGTGACATTTATAATTATTGCAAAACTTCAAATAAGTTGTTTAAAGAAACATTGGGTGTAACATTTCTGAGGCATTCATTATTATTTTGGACGGGACTTAACATTAATTAATAATAGTTAGTATAATGATAATTATCTTTAGTTTAGAAATTATATATTACAAGTAACCTGTGCAGTTTTGCTATGCATGAGAGACATTCTAACATTGTAATAGATTATTTTACTGAGACAAAATACACAAAAGTACACACAGTTTTGACCAAGATTAAGTACACAGTTTTCAAGGCGATCACGCTACGTGATGAAATTTAAATTTTGACTGAAAACAGCCAGAAAATGGAATTTAAGAGTCTCATATTGTTCTGAATTATTGGGGGGGGAGGGGAGGTAGAAAACGGTCATATTAGTTTACGAATAAATTTCCATTTTACCTTTGGCAACACCGGTTAGCAGAATAAATAGATAATAGAAGATATCAATAAAAATTCTGATTCTGCGTTGCAGTTGTCACATTTTCGCAAATTTGTTATGTAACGTTAAGATTCATGTCACATGCTTTAAATACAACCCATTATGTGATAATTTCTGGATGTTGCATGCTTATTAGTTACAAACAGTGGAAGAAAGGTAAGTGATTCATATAATATTTTTTGTCTTGAGTATATGGGTTCCGGTTATGTAATATATCCCAGAAGGGATCGCATACTTAGCTTCTGAAAATCACGTCAGAAATTTCAAATAAATTAAATTAAATGAATAAATTAATTTATGAAAATTGCTTTTTATAGATGTATGCGTTTACTTTTCTTGCTGAATATATTTTCCAGAAATGAAGTATTACAAATCCGTCCAAATTTTTGTTTAGCTATTCTCTACCCTCCCGTAAATTTCTCTGAATAAAATAAATCTTATATAGAGTTTTCAATAATACATCAATAAAGATAGGAATTTTTAAAAAATATTTATATAATATTGAAATAGCTTTGAATTTTAAAAATTGTGATTTCTGTATACGTGTATTTAAGTCTGTCAAATGAATACATATTTAAATCTTTTTTTCCAAAATTTGTCTTATTTATTGCAGGAAAAAACAAACTGAAGGACAATGGCTGTTAAAATTTTAGATGAGGATCATCTCCTTATAAGTGCAATAATAACTGTTGGAATGCAGCTTATTTTCTTTTTCATAGCTGCATCTTTCCAATTTGATAAAATTACCGATTTTGCTGGTGGTACAAATTTTATTATAATTGCAATTTTGACATTTGTTCTTTCTATGGTGAGTATACACTATTTTCCTTCAAACAAATATATCCCTTTAAACCATATAATTTGGTAAAAGTATATTTACGGGTACTCCCTTGGCGAAAATTGCCAATTTTTGGTGGTACATGGATACTGAGTTTGTGCAATTCTTTTACTTGTATCCATGTACACGTCGACCTATTTTCACTTAAAAAAACATCAGAGAATTGCACAAAACTTGCCATTGCACACTCCTTTGACTTTGTCCATGTACACATCGATATATTTTCACTTAAAAAATTCAAAGGAGCACCCAGTTCTGGGTAAAAGTATATTTACAGAACATTCAGCTACTCAGGTTGCCATAATTGAAACAACTTCGCGATAATACAAGGGGTACCCTTCAGTGTAATCTAACCTAGAATTTTACTGTATTTCTGTATGTAGTGTTATAAGTAATATATACGAATTTTGTGATATTTTATTTTATCAATTCTTATATTTGATGATATAAATTGATAAGCAATGATAGAGATTAAAGAAATGAAGACTATGATAATTGTTATAAATCAGCTTATAGTTTTGTCTGCGTGTTATATGATCATATTTTGAGAGAGTTTCTCTGAAAACTTATGCGGTAACCACTTTTACAAGAAAATGCTAAATTTGGTGATACTAAAGTTGTAATTGGAGTTTTAATTTTTCAAAAGGGAAATAAATAGAAAATTGTAATAAAAAAGCAGCAATTATTGCTTCCATTTCTGGTAAAAGAAAGGAAACTATTAAACGAATTCATTGATTTATATTTAAAATTGTACAATATTATAAAGGAAATAAGATACAGTCAAAAGTCGTTAATTCGGACCTCAAAGCAACAAACAAACAAACGCATGCGCAGAAAGTCGCATTGACGCGTGCGCGTAAGACTGTTACGGCTGCGAATATGCGTGTGCGCATGCGCATAATACGTTTACGCATGTGCGTTTAATGTATAACGGACGGTATAAGCTAAGCTAAAATTATCTAATTCAGTTAATGTTGCAGATGCGTTGTTCCTTAATCTTCGAATTGGATCCGGCTTATTTTTTGCAGAACTGTTAGAGCAATTTTATAAAAGTAAGCTTGACTTCGATTATGTCAAATAATTTCCGATACATATTTACTAATATGTAAAGGATCTACAAAGCGAAAGTATGTTTTGAAATCCGAAATCTGTTTATCAATTTCACGCTGTGGCAGGGGGGGACACCACAGTGCGAATGAATTGGAAGTTGATCTGTCAGCACTATCCTTATCTTCAGGGCAGATGTTTTTTATTTTATTTGGCTTAATTCCTTACTAATGTAGTAATCATCTCATGTACTCCGTCTTTGATATGATTTAAATCAATTCCTCGTCATTATAATTCGCTTCCGATAGTGAAGAAAGTGACCAGAGGTTATTGAAAACGAAAAAATTTCGATTGACAAATTAGTCGGTATTCCAACACCAGCATATAGGATTTGAACAGCGACTGGTTAATCCAGTATCCGGTACACAAGAGATTTGGCGACTTCATGATGAGTAGTAAATGGTACATATACGATGAGTAGTTAAATGGGTCATTTTGGTGTTGGTGGTAATTTTCAAAATTGTGCCAAGGCTGGATACTAGGATTTTACCGCGGAACTTGGTAACTAAACAAGAAATTATGTCTGTTTAATACAATTAAAGAGAAAGTAGGTTGATCTTTACAATATGGTAACTGGTAGTTTGGCGACATTTTGGAGGCGATAAAGGTTACTACCTGGGACTTTGGTAATAATGTGAGCAGTACTCAGTTCGATTACGCATTATTTTGTGTGAGGTAAACGAGAGATCATGGGATATGTCATGAGATATTAATGGACGAATTACGGTTCTTGAATCGGAAAGGGGGGAAATCGGGAAAAAATCTGGAAATTTTGTATTTGGTTATTCTGTGTTGTGTGAAACAGTGTTCGTGAATTTTTTGATCCCATGGCCGTAACTAAAAAAGTTTTATCGGACCCGTAATCAAGATTCTGAAGAAGATTAGGTAAGTTAGTATTTTTAATTACTGAGAATATTTTTTATGCTGTTCTAAATGTAAGGTGGAAGTAAAGGATTTGGTATTATTGGGAAAGTTGTTATTAGCAATGATTTAGTTTAGTAATTAGGATCGTAAGGTTTATTTTTTTTTTAATTAATGTTTGCTCATTTATTTTAGTAGTTGTTTTTGAATTTAATTATATTTTAATTAAATGATAGTTATTTTGTGAATTTTATGTTTGTAGGAATTTGGTATACGTTATCAGGTAATTTCATATATGTTCTTTTTACCGGGTTTAAAGATGGAAAAATTGTCATGTATTTCGTGAAATTTTTCTAATTTTATGAGAAAAAAGCAGTGTACATGATGAAGTGAAAGGTGCGCAATGCCATTTTTGTGCAATTCTGGGATGTTTTTTTTAAGTAAAAATAAGTCGACGTGTACATGGTTTAGTGATATTTTAATTAAATGATAGTTATTTTGTGAATTTTATGTTTGTAGGATTTGGTATACGTTTAAGTTGAAGTAAACCTGCATGGAAATAATTTAAAAATATTTGATATTAAGTATTTGTAATGCTTGCGGTATGAATTCGTTGGTGAGTGTATAATGTAATAGATGATTTAGAGGTAAAAGTTTTTGGATATTTTATTATTTATATGTTGGAAATGTTCATATTTGGAAAGGGTAAATACTTTTTCGCGATCAGGTAATTTTCATATATGTTCTTTTACCGGGTTTTTAAAGATGCCATGTCATTTTGTGCAATTCTGGGATGTTTTTTTAAGTAAAAATAAGTCGACGTGTACACGGTTTAGTGATATATTTTAATTAAATGATGGTTATTTTTGTGAATTTTATGTTTGTAGGAATTTGGTATACGTTTAAGTTGAAGTAAACGTGCATGGAAATAATTTAAATATTTGATATAAGTATTTGTAATGCTTTGCGGTATGAATTCGTCGGTGACGTGTATAATGTAATGGATGATTTAGAGGTAAAGTTTTTGGATATTTTATTTATTTTATATGTGGAAATGTTCATATTTGGAAAGGGTAAATACTTTTTCACGATCAGGTAATTTCATATATTTTATATCTTTTACTTCGTGAAGACAAAATGGCGGCGAGGAAAAAAAATAGAGGGTTGCTGTAGGAGAGTTGGTTGCCAAATTTTCGCCAAAAAACGCCAAGTTACCATAATGTAAAGATCAACCAGAAAGTATTATCACATGAAACGAAACAACTTACATCGAAAGAAATGTTTAATAAAGTAAACAAATAAATATTAAGCTTTTTCTTTTTGTAAATTTTTACCGGGTTTAAAGATTGAGAAAATTGTCATGTATTTTCGTGAAATTTTTCTAATTTATGAGAAAAAAGCAGTGTACATGGATATAGTGAAGAGTGTGCGTAATGCCATTTTTGTCAATTCTGGGATGTTTTTTTAAGTAAAAATAAGTCGGCGTGTACATGGTTTATGTGTATGTGTTATTTTGAAAAACGCGTAAGGAGTATGGTATTGTGCACTTTTTCCCAATTTTGCAGTGAATATTTGTCATGATTAAGTAGTTTTGTTAGATAAAATTTCTAGCATAAGTGTAATTCGGCTAGTAGATTGTTGGAAGAAGTGTTCAGTAGATAAAAAGAAAAGAAACATGTCTTTTACTTCGTGAAGACAAAATGGCGGCGAGAAAAAAAAAATAGAGGGTTGCTGTAGGAGAGTTGGTCGCCAAAAAAAACGCCAAGTTACCATAATGTAAAGATCAACCAGAAAGTATTATCACATGAAACGAGACAACTTAAACAACTTACATTGAAAGAAATGTTTAATAAAGTAAACAAATAAATATTAAGCTTTTTCTTTTTGTAAATTTTGATACCCTTTAGATCATAATTGTTCTTTATTTCATAAATTATGGTTTCATTTTTTAAATTTTGTAATTTCTGCATGCCATATTACCAGATTTAAACTGATGATCTATAATCCAGAAAAATTGATAAACCGGAATCGGCGAAGTCCCGACGAGTCCGGATTAAAGACTTTTGACTGTAACTGCACCGTTTATGGCTTCTTGAAACAGTGTCCACATATATTGAAACCTCATTTCACAATTTAATTTGTTCCTAAAATCATAAGCAAATATTAATGGGTATAAAGCAATGTTTATAACCAAAAATGTACATGATTAAATTGAAAACAAAGAAGATAAGCAGAATATTAAACAGATAAAATAAACTTAATTTTGCTGCACTTGTACAAGGAGAAAGGATTGCATGAGGAGGAAAATGTTATTGTTTGAATACAAAATTCCCTTCCATAAGATTGCAAGGCAATCAACTGCCTTTAGAGTGCAATTATTTTTATCTTCCCCCCTTCCAAGCACCACATGAATGTACTCTACACTCACTGGTCATCTGTTTCACTGAAAATTTGTCCAATATGATTTGTTGTTGCCAATATTTTAAAATGCTTCAAAAGTGATAGCTTGGTATTGCTATCACTTCTAACAGGATGATATATTTGCCTGAAATCCTGAAAAATGATCCTAGTTCTTTGATACATTTTTCAGACCAAAGAACTAGAATCATTTTCCTTTCTTTCCCTTTTGAACATATTTCTTCCTCAATTGCCTTTCGTTGTTGCTTCTGAAGTTGTAATTCTTATTTGTTAGCTCATTTTTATGGTCCTCTTGTAACCTGTGTATGTCTTCATTTATTAGCCCATGGTTTGTGTAGAGTCTAGACTAGGCCTCTGTAATACATGTTCCATGGGCCACGCATTACAGATTACATGCATTACGCATTTGAAGTGGCTCTCTTGAGTTTCGAAAATAAAGTATAAACATAAATTATAAAACATAAATATGAACCAAGCACTTGAAGAATACATTAAAAAATAAACTGAAATAATAACAGTGACATTTTTGTTTGATTCAAAAATTGTAGCAATGAATACGCATTTTTATTGTAACTTTATTTCAA